TTAATTAATTGAGAAATAAAACTCGTTGTAAATGATACTTTTTGCGAGCGTTAGAATTTTAGACTTTCCAAGGAAAATCGATTTTTCGAGAGAGACTTTGGTCTCCAAACTTCGATTAACTTAAGCGACGATTAATTCAACCAACAAACGTCCATTTCTATCAATCATAAATTGATTGTAATCTATTTATTTTCTGTCTGTAATCTGAGTTTTTTTGTCCAGCTCCAGTTTTTTTATTATTTAAAAAAAAATTCAGGATTATACTTTTCAATAACTCTATTACATTACCAAATATCTTTTAACTCCAATATTAAAACCTTTATTTGATAAAAATTGAAATTGAACAAAATTAAGGGTAAAATTTGAGAATAAAATTTCACTTGTGCCAAGAAAGACTTAGATTGCATACGGAAAATTAATTTATTCATCATCTTTTTTTAATGTTTAAAATTAGAAAAAGAAAAAAATAAGTTAAATCAAGTAATTTATCTACAATTAGAAATAAACAAAAATTATAATATTTTCTTCTACGAATCGAGTGACAAGAAATTAATAACTCTATACATAAAAACAGGTATTAATTAAGTTAATATTAATATTATTAGATGCGCAACTAAGTTCTCGCTATTATTTTGATGGCATTTTCATCAAAATAACAGCGAGAACTTAGTTGCGCACCTAATATATTTATAGTACGACAAATTTTTCAAGCGTTAATTGATTGCAGGAAGAAAATCTCGAATTTCTCTTCCTTATCTAAGTCAATTAAAAGACTTGAAAAATTTGTCGTACGATAAAAATGTAATACCAGCCTTATTCCAGTTCCACCACTTTAATCTCGGTTCAATTTATTCTTTACCTTTTTCTAATTTCAAGAACTAAAAAAACATAAATACAGTAATGTCTATTTTTACCAATGTAAATTAACTTCAATCTCACTTTAATGTATGTAAATTAACTTCAATCTCACTTCTTACTCTTCATCTTTTTTTTCAGTTCTAAGAATTAAAAAAAGATGAAGCATAAGTTAAACCGAGGTTAATCTTACATTATTGGTGGAATCGGACCTAAGTGAAACTGAGATGAAAGTTCATCTTATATTGAGGCCTTCTGTATTTGACAAGTTAATCGCCAATTGAATTAACCGAAGTCTGGCTACTTTCCAGTAACAGACACAGATGACACAGTGTAACACAGTAGTGATCAATCATTACATCCTTATTTTTTGTTGATGTTGAACACAGATGAAATGATCACTAGCTGCATTAAGGATCATTTGTACATGCCGTAAGGCGTAAATAAACTATTAACTTATTCCATAAGCTATAATAAAAAAATTGGCTATTTACAATCAAATGTGAGAAGAATAATCGGCTTCATTCTCTTCACATTCAACTATGATTGGTAAATTTCTTATAAATTGATCAATTTCTTATAAATAATTTCTCAAACTGTGTCTAGCTCTTATTGGAAAGCACTGTTTGATTGATGAAGAATCATCCTAGAATGGATTATTATTAATTGACACGGTGCTAACCGGATTTCCTATCTCTTCGTGGCAAGGAAGTCCGAGATTGCGATGATGACGAAGGAAAATCGTAGATTACGTAGACCAACTGTATACTCGATCACGATCGGTCAAGGTAGTGCGTGCAGCTGCAGTTGCAGTCGCATAATGACAGATGTCACGTGGAACAACGATTGTAGTGGGGGAAAAAAAGTGAAGCGGTAGAGGGGAGAGAGGAGGGGAGCTTCCCTCTGCACTTGTCAACAATATGGCTCCGTAAACGACGCACTCGTATCGAATCGCGTGACCAGATGTTGCTCGAGATAGCGAACATAACAAACGTGACGAGCCTCGCTGGCGGTATCCTCGCGGCCGACATAGCCGCGGGTGAAAGTACAAAGAATAAGAACGCGATGCGCGCGAGTTCCTAACCTGGCAATGACCTGGCGATTTCCAGCGTTGTGCGGAATTACCGCGACGTGAATTCATTTCTGTGCGAATTACGTAAATTCCTCATAAAATTCTCTTCTCTCCCTTTATGTCATCGAGAACCTCCGAAATGGCATGTCCAGTGGAACGACTGAGGTAAGGAGTAACTGGATCTGTTACATGTTTCTGCTACTGTAGGTTACATCTCGCAGAGAATAAACACAATTTATTTCTTAATACGTTCCTTTTAACGCCTCATAGAATTTACTTCATCACGTACAATGTGGCTACGAAGTTTCCGGATCCCAGAGAAGATCTTCATCAACTTTTGGGTATTACATCTTGCGACAAATCAAAGTTGGTGTGGCCGGATTTATATTTCGTCGGGTACGTTCAGAATGTTTCTCTGGATCAGATTCAATGATAAAGTGTGTGTTCTTTCAGTTTACAGGAAGTTAAATCACAACCACAAAATTTAATATTAGACTATATACTATTTGAGGATCCATGGACTAAAGCCTTTAGGTAAGTCTGTTATGATGATGCTCTTATATCAGGAATATAATTATTCACTATGTATATTCATTTTAAGATATGAAAATTATACTTTGACTTGTTTACAGAGATGTGTTGAAGAAGTATGATTATGTAAAAGTACGTTCGCAACGATTGCAGGGTCTTGTTTTGAATGTTTTTTGCCTAAGGAAACACTTGACACACTTAAGATTGATAGAAACTCAATATACTAAGACAGGTTTCGGTGGCATATGGGTAAGAAAACAGTGTAAGGCCAATATTATATGCGTCTGTTTTTTGTTGTACGACAATTTTTTTAAGTCTGTTGATTAGCTATAGGACAAAGAGATCTCTCTCTGAGATCCTCTCTGTCTTGCAGCCAATTAACATGCTTGAAAAATTCGTACGACAAAAAATGGATGCATGCATGTAGTAATTGCTGTTCTACTAATAATCTTATCTTGCTTGTTTTTAGGGAAATAAGGGTGCAGTGAGCATAAGAATGAATACCTATGGGGTCAGCATTTGCGTAGTGAACACACATTTGACTCCTCATGATCATTTGCTAGCTGATAGAGTATCAGATTATAATACCATCGTGACAGATCACACTTTCACTGCTCCGTTTACATCGAGAATATTATATCATGAGTATGAATATTTTTATATTGAAATAGGATTGTATCATTTAAATAAAGTTAACTACATCCTCGATAGTATCTTATATACGTATCTTCTATTAGCTATATATTTTGGATTGGTGACTTAAATTTTCGGCTCAACGGAGAGGAATTAACTGCCGCTGATATAGACTTATTGGTGAAAAAGAAGCAATTGAAGGAACTTCTCGAAAGAGATCAGTTGATGATGGTGATGAAAGAGCAACAAGCTTTTGCTGAACTGAATGAAAGTAGCATTACATTCCCGCCTACCTACAAATACGAGTTTGAGTCTCAAGAATTTGATCTCAAGTAAATTATACTGATTAAATATAAGAAAAATTTATAAATATTTCTTTTAAATATTTCGATATATTTTATATAATATTATTTTGATATGTTTATGATTATTTCTCATGTAGGCGTAGACCGTCTTGGACCGATAGGATTTTATACAAAGTAAATGCAGCAGATATATACGACGATATAGAAATTCACACTGAGCAGCATACTTACAAGAGTCATCCCGATTACAGTGTTTCAGATCATAAACCTGTAACTGGAGAATTTGATATCGTGGTAAAAATACAGTTTTGCTATACATTTCTCCTTATTGAGTTAAATATAAATGATGAAACTTTTTTTTAGGTCAGACCTAATGTAGTAGAAAACATTGTGGAATTCCAAGACTGTATCGTAGAGGAAAATTTTATTTCTTACAAACTACAAAGAGATTTTATCCCAAGCAATGGAGATTGGATAGGTCTCTTTCCTAACGAATTCTCCAGTCTAGATGATTACATCATTTACGAATATGTTAGTCGTGGTAAGTTTCTTATTTCATTACACATCCTGCTGTTATTTTACCTTATCGTTGTTATTTAGTGTTGCTATTCATTCTTCTGATAATTATCTAATATCCAGGTAAACCAATGTTAGTTTCTGACGAACCTCACGCGAACACGGAACGAATATCCTACAATGATTCGGCTCTTCGTCTGTCGGAAATGTACTGTTTGGTGTATGTAGCTCAACGAGGCTATCTTATGGAAGTTTTGGGAGTGAGTCCGGAATTTTCGGGTCCCCATAGATCAGTCGAACAATCATCTACATAAATTTTATAGCAGAGTCAGTTTATTTAAAAAAAATTCACTTATAAAAAGAGCATAATCGGTAATTATTTTGTCGAGAGATTAAATACCAAGCTTTATGCAATTTATAATATCTAGATATTATTAATATCTAGATGGAAATATTTTATTTAATTGTTATTATCCTATTACCACGGTTTTTTTTTGGAAATGTTTTAAGGATGAAATAGGTTTACTACTCTAAGTTGTGTGAGTAGGAAAATTAAATGACGAATCAAGAAATATGGCCTTTAATCAAAGGGTGCTTTTGGTATGGTATAGTAAGTTTACAAATTAAACACATCACGAAACGATGTTTCGTATAGGAGTTAGTTGTTACTTTTGGTACCTGGTTTTTGCGCTCTCAGGGTGCGTCGCGACGTATTTAATCGTCCGCTTTAGAGCTTTCAGTGAGTGCACCGTCACGTTTTTCTGCACGCAAGATCTTTCGCGATCCATTAACTTGTTGTTAGAGATAGGCTACACCTATAGGTATATAATTATTTTTTTTCTGCCTCCCGAACGTTAATGGGTTACGTGGTACGCGTGCGTTAATGGTACGCGTGCGCTCACGTATATCATGACTATTTTCTTAGCATAATTTAGCAGATTTAATTGTGGCAAGGTACGTTCGTACTATATAAATTCACGCATATTATTTGTTTTATATATACATATATTTTTTTTTTATAGTGCGCCGTGAGAACAAATTAAACGAACAAATGTACACTATTTCAAAGGGAAAGCAAGAATAAAGGATATTAATATTTGTTATTTATTTTGACTGATTTGCCTCGTCGTTTTATTCTATGCACAATTTCTTCAATAAATTATAATGTCTAGTAGGACAATAAATAATGTGCTAGCTACATATGGAACAACAATACGATTCGATAACAATATTATGCAAAACTTGTTTTTCCACCTCCAACTTCTTTCTCTCCCCCCTCCCGCCTCCCTCTCTCCGAATATACTGCGTTATGCGATATTGACGTATTTTCGATGAATTTATAATTGCTGTATAAACACGTTTGACATATTCTATTCACTATGTTGCGCTTTTGTTTAGACTTAATTTATTTGTAATGTATTAACATAACGTGTCATACCGGATTCATGAAATGAAGGCTTTGCACAATAATATTATTATATCGCATTGTTGTTCCGTTCAACAATAAACAATGTATAAGTACACAAGGTATGGTATAACATTATCGATGTGAACATCGACTTGCGGCGTGAATTGAAGAACTACAAGTATTATCGTTAATATTACCTTAATACTATGATTAATAATGCGATGTAATCATTTAGCCGCACTTAATGAACATCAATTTAGGATTACAGCCGGTTCTCACACATATTTAATTGTGCAGATTACATTCTTATCATTTGAGATCCTTGAGCGAGGTCCATCCGTTGTTTGTTTCCACAGTTGTATAATTAGCACAATAACATCGCAATATGTACTATATTTTGCGGAGGTGGATAATGTATTTTACGTAACATGTTACCTTGCAGAAAAAGATTTTCACATAACGTCGCGAAATACTTGTAATTCAACGCGCGCAAAGTCACGTCGTATGTTTCCTCTGTCGATGCATTTTACTCGAAATTAAAACGCCTCGACATGCGCATTGATATTTACAATTAGATTATTGCAAAAAAAAGACTAGAAACTATTACTTATAAAAATTGTGATTTAATTAAATATTTATAAATAATCTCCTTTAGGCGAAAGTTCCTTGCATCGGATTTCGCAGGCTAGTTAACTTGAGTGAGTTTCTCGAGTGATTTACAACGAAATCACACCAATAAGATATTTTATATCTCTTCATGAGCGTCACCGTTCGAGAAGATCGCTCCGTTTTGCTATTGCACACAGCGAAATTAAAATAACTTTCATCTCATTGACGTGAGACTACATCCCGGCTCCTATCTTTTGTCGGTCCATTGGTTTATCGGTTTATCGATCGCATTAAATTTACAGCCGATATCACTTCGGCCTGCATTAAATGCATCATCTTGTCACGCTTAGAAAAAGATCAGTCTTTTTCTAAGAACTTTTCTAAGAATTATACGATCTCTCTGGGATATCGCCGTTTATTACGGGTAATAGCGCCAGGTCCATGCTTCCGACGTTTAGTTCCGTGGTGTTTATTCCCCGTATCTTCTGTATTCTATGCCAAACAAAGTCTCTGATAGGCCTTCTCAGAACGAACAGACCGAAGACGAGGACACCCTGAAGTGCGTTCACCAAATCGAACGCCGTCCAGTCGAAAGGATCACCGCCAACTCCCCAAGAAATTAATTCCATCATCCAATTGAGACCCATTAAAAAGAAGAGTACAAGGCAAACGATGAAGACCCGCTTGAGTCTGCGGAAGAGTCTTTGATCCTCCCGATCGCAATGGTGATTCCTCGCCAAGCGTCTCAGCGCGAGCACTTGCTGGTACCGGCTGATCTTGATGGCAGTGATTATGAAGAGGATCATGTTCATTAACAGAAGGATACCGACTGGTACGTAGAAATACGGCAGGGCTTCCGTATCGGCTATAAAAAGAGTGATAATTAACACTTCCACTTCTTCTGATAGTAAATGAAGATAATAAGCAAAATGACAAATGTTAAAAAGTTTGATAATTTTACATTATTATGATAGGAATTAATATATGATAGGAATGTAAGAGTCATAATGATTAGATTGAATCGCACGTATTTATTTTATCTAACTGTGGGAAAATATATTTAACCTTCCATCTTCAATTCAGGTTTTTTTTTTTGGCACAAGTGAAATAAAGGACTGAATCCGATTTCTTTATTGCTAAGTTATACATATTTCCATTTTTTCCTCATTTTTACTAAAATTTCAATTTTTATTAAATGAAGGTCTTAACACTTAAGTTGAAAATCTATTCGGTAATGTAATAGAAATGTTTAAAAGTAACTCTGAATTTTTCCACATGTTTTGAAAGTCTAAAACTAAAAAAAATTCGAACTAGACAAAAAAGATTCAGATTTGTAGACGGAAGGAGTAAAAATAAAATTGCAGACGGAGGATACCAAAGAAGTTTCTTCGATGTGCGTATTCGTGATGGCAATGAGACATAATTACAAGTTCTGTAAATGGATCGAAAGAAACTTACATTTGAACCAGCAGCTCTCGCTACCAAAAGCGGGCTTAACGTAGGTCATGGGTATTGTAGGACTGAGATCCATCAACATCGAGATGAGAATGAGGCCCGCTGGGAAGCCCCAGGCCCATATCGAGTAGTAGAAGAACAGCGTTTTAGGCTGGATTCTCCTGTACGAGCGCTGGTTCACATGGTGATGTACCAATGCCCATGTTTCGATGCACATCACGTTCAGCCAGAAGAAGCAGGCCACGAACGAGAATTGGATGACGAATGCTGAAAACGACGCCGATCACAGTCTCTCAATCAATTTGCTTGTCATTCGTGTGTCGTCATACTTCCTAAAGCGAACCTCCTGTCCTTCTACACGATATCGCCGAAATTATACCACTCACTCATTGTCAGTAAAAGTAACAGTCCAAAGTCCAATATTCGAATTGTACAAGCTTGAAAATTATCAGTTACAACTTATTACTGTTTTTCTTCAAATTTCTATAACGATATTCTTGTAACAACAACTCAATTGAAGTTAAATTCGATTAAACATTCAGGCAGTAGCGTAATTTAAAAAAAACATTATTTGAGTTGAACATTTTTCGTCGATTTTCCTGACTTATTATTTAAAAAAAAATTGAAATTTTTTATTTTTGATCATAAATCATAATTTTCTAAAATTATACACTATATGTACATTATATATGTATTTTTATTTAATAGTGTCACGATTAAATGCGTTTATCATTGATAATTAATTATCTTACCTATACTAACGCAGGCTTGAGGCGATAATTGTCCGCTTGCGAGTTGCGTAATGGCTAAAGTGGTAAAGGCCAGCGCTAAGCAGCCACAATAGAGGCAAAGGGCTTTCCCGTGGACGTCCCTCAACCTTGGCGTTATCGTGTATGCCACAATGGTAAGTATCAGAAAAGGAACCGAGATCAGAAGCCCGCAGGCATAAATAATGACTCGTGCATCCGTGGTCGGCGGTGGAACATCTGCAATCGTTGCGTTTACTTAAGTAACATAAAAGAAACATAAAACAAATTACACGTCAATAAATTGTCAATTTTCTGTGATGTGATTAAATACGAACTTTTTTACATAAATAAATAATTCATTGTACGAATAAGTAACAATTATTTTCTTGGTTTGAAACATTGAGAGAATTCATAGAAATATTCAGAAGGATTATCAATGAAGCATTGATGAATATCTTTATACGAAATATATAGAGGTAGTATATAAATGACAGCTAAAAGATAATAGAAGAATGGAAAGATTGTCTGTCTGATTTCAGTTCCTTTGAAAAACAATCTTATCAAAATTCTCCTATTTTTATCTAAGTATATCATATTTATAACATATGAAAATATTTAATCTTCATTGATAATTCTTCTGAATTTCTTTGTAAATTCTCTGAATGTTTCAACTCAAGAAAATAATTATTAAAGAATACAAACCTTGAAAACAGACAAATGCTCGAAGTCCCAGCTCGGGCACAATCTCCATGCAATAATTCTTACCGGGCATCAACATAATCGGTACATGATCGAGTCGCGGCGCGAAAATGGAACCATTCACCAATAAATAATACTCATCATTCTCATCGTTCTCCTTCGGTTGTAGCATGTACCTGAAAATTGCTTCGTCAAATACGTGTGTACATACGTGCAAATTTGTGCCGACTTAAGAAAGGTGCTTGAATGGAGTATTCAAAGTAAATGGAAGTTTAATTTACTTTGAATACCCGCACCAGGATACACACATCGCGACAGAAGATCTTTCCGAGAAATACGTTTCTATAATCAATCGCTCATGAGAAACAAGTTTTGCTGAGAAAATCATTCCTATCTAATTACAAAAATTGCAATAATACTGAATTTTACGATAGAAAAGAACAGAATAAAGTATTTTATTTATTACAAGACACTGAATATTGTTGTTTTTCAATATCTGTGTATCCAGTGTGCGTAACATTTAAAGAAAAAATTCAGGAATAAAGTTATTTGAAATCTAAACCATGTTACAAAAATATGACAAAATTTGCTAGCCAATTTATTCAATACAAAAATAATGTTAGCTGCAAAAATTATATCTACAAGGCGGTTGGAAAAAATCGTGCCGATTATTAAAAAAATGCAAAAGTAACTTTTTTTTCATATAAATATATCTTTATTTTGTCCACTATGCTTTTATTCTGCATTTTTTTTGCTATTTTATATTTAAAGATTCTATCTTCTTGAATTCTCTTATATTTCTCGGCAAGAAATAAATCTTTTTAAGACCTCGAATCCCCCCTGATATTCTCATAAATCAATTTAAATTTGTGTTGCAATTTTCATTGTTTATGCAAATATAATTCATGAGCAGTTACATTTATTCGTTCGTACTCGATATGTCTTTATGAATAAATCATATACACTTATCAGCTAAAAGGTTGCAACACTTTTTTTTAATTGGTTTCGGAACTTAGCCTTGTTAGTTAAAGATAAATGATTAGATCCATAAGTAAGAATCAAATTGATATTATACAGGATGTCCGGTAAGCAGGTTGCATTCCAAAAAAAGTTGTGTGCAACCTTTTAACTGATGGATATATAAACTACATACAATAATGCGGCGATATCACTGTTATACTACATATCCGGCGAGATTAAACGTTCCTTTATGATTTCATCTCCGCCGATTATCGCACGATATCATATTTTTTTTATTAAAAAAGAGAAAAAATATTGACGCCGCACGTTATCTGCAGGCAATGAGTGCGCGCGTGGATTCTATAACAGCTTGTGAATTTTCAATAAGAAAGCTCTTTCAATAAGATACACAATTGTTTGATATATCATAAGTATCTGAAGAATACAATGTCGAGAGTGCAGTTATCATTATATATACAGAGTGTCCCTAAATTCGCAAATCGAAATATTACAGCAAAAAGAAATTTTCAAAAAAAAAATAATTTGCTATAAAATTATTTGTTGTTTCCAACAATAGTTTTTGAGATATAAAGATTAAAAACTGGTTAATTATAAATTATAATTAAACGGTCTATTCCGCATCAATCGCGTGTTGATAGTGTTAATGATTGTGAACATCACGCGTTCATTAGATAAAAAATTATGTGTGTAATGTCTGGGGAATACCGTGTACATATATTTTAATAATATTGATAATGTAATATAAATTAGTAATTTAGTAGCGATATAATATTCCGATAAGTTATATTTATCTTATTAATTACCTTTATCATCAGCATCAACTAATTTGCTACAATGTTACACGATATTATGCGAACGTTATACACAATCTATTATCTAATGCTTATGAGCGCACGAAGTGCGCGACTCATGGACAGACTACTTAGTCTATAATTAGCCAGTGTTTCACCAGTATATCTCAAAAACTAACTGCTCGAAACGATAACAAATACTTTCATAACGTATTTTTTCAAAAACTTCCTTGCTGTGGTATAATTTTAATTCACATTTCGGACATCCTGTATAATATCAATTGCAATTTTTGATTAAAGATATAAGTAAATCCATTCTTATGATTTCCAAGTACATATTTAACTTGCAATTATGTAAAGTCTGGTATATATTTTCGCATTAGTGTTTGTTAGATTTTCTAAATTTCACAGTCTACGAATCATATGGCTAATCAACATTTCATTATAATTCGTCATTTTATTATAATACGAAAACAGTCTTATCGTAAAATATGGCCAATCGACATGGCGTTCCGATTTATTGATAAGGATATTGATAGTACAAATTCATTTTATATTATATAATGAATAGACATTCGAATTCTCATGCAATATTTTTTTAGAAAGTAGATTGGAAAGTAACATCAAAATAGAAATTTGCCTTATTAAAAAAGCATTTAAAAAATATTTATTTATTATTTTGATGCATTTTCATCAAAATAACAGCGAGAACTTAGTTGCGCACCTAATATATACATTGTGCATATTTGTGCAAATTTGCATATTTTGTGTATGCCTGCAAAAAATATTTGCATAAAAATCCGATGTCTAGTAATGAATGACCTTCGGTAAAATGGTGTGTAACGACTTTCTCAACAGCTGATTCCATCATTCCGGATCATTCGATCTTTGCGGATCGAATTTCGCTTTTTTTCGTATTCCCATGTACGTACCTCTGATTGCAGGGATTTCCCACGAGAGCGGTGAATGTCTTATATTCATCACCGGGCACCAGCGCGCCGGTATGATTGAAGTCGCTGAAGAGAGGCGAAAAATACGTCGACGAGTCATTCGAAGAAACACAAACGGCATTCCCGTGCGTATCTTTTATGAGGACTTCGTCTATGGAGCAACATTTTCCCACCAACGGTAAGCGTCTGTATTCCTCCGGCATTGTGGTCTCATTTTGCTAAAACGAAAATATTGTATGTATTTTGTATGTGTATGTTGTTGAAACGACACTGTCGATATATCTCGATGTTCCAAAATTCTCGGAAAACGCAGCTTGAGACGTGTCGTGAGCATAAATAATCATGTGACTAATGACAAACTTGTCGGCGTTGTAGTTTGTCACTTATGGAAAATGACTCCATATCTTTTAAGACAGATTTAAAATCGAGCAAAAAAGTTTCGGATTTTCTTTGGAACTTCTGCGAAATAATCTCTATATGTACATATGAGCGTAGATCGTTGAAACAATAAATAAGTAATACTGCAATTTATAAACTAAATAAATTAACCGTAGAATTTATTTCCAAGAATTTATAGTTTTTACGTCAATTCACAAGAGTTGCCGATTTGTATCTTCCAAGACTTCGCATATCTTCTTTTAGAACTTATACTTTGTTTTTCTCAACTTCTCGATTTCTTATGCAATCTCGCATTTCAGAAAAGATCAGGTATTTGCGTAAGAGCTTTTACAACCGAGATTATCTGGACAATATCAAGAAACTGGAACTATCGGCTTGATCTAAATATAACTCCGTGAGAGATGCGAAATACGTGAAGCTCAGACAAATAAATACAAAACCTAAGTTTGGTATATCATAAATGTCGGTGTAGTGTTGTATACTTACCAATGGGATAGGATATATGATGGGTATCGCGTCACTCGTGCACGCAATTGGTGTCAATAAATACGCGAAAAAGACGTAGATACAAATGAGTCCCATCCTGGACGGTAGTTGCACCTTATCAAAGTCTATCGAGTGTCGATTATCGAGAACGTACTCGAAATTTATATCGTGTCAACCTTTAAATCAATGCTCGTCAAGCACTTTGCATTGAGCATAATCGAACTTTGAATTTATCAGTTACTGGGCTTTGAAAATGGAAATGGTAACTCGACCTTGCTCCGGATGCACCTATAATTACGACGTGCAGTACTTCTCGCGGCGACATTTAGGCGAGACAGGTTCTTCCGCTCCTCTTTCGTCACTCGATATCATATTAGATCGTGCGCATTTATCTTGTCACACCCTGGTTGCACTCGCCGATAAGTCTTCTATGTAATGCGGGAGTTATTTGCTTGATGATCGATGCCGGTTTTAATTGAGGATTTCAGTCGGCTTTTTCTCTATTTCTCTCTTGTCTCCTCTTATGTTTGATTAGCCGGAGGATTTTTGCGAAGTTAGTCAGATAAATCCGAAGCTCTTAAGAATTATAGAATTGACACTAGCGATGTATTATCGGTTGTTTCTCCGATCACCTATTATATCATTATCTTGCACTCTCACCATCGCACCGATTTTTTCAATGATGTCTTCGCACGAATGCACGTGTCATCAATCACATTCGATGTCCGTGAAAGCATTAAGTCATCCGGAAATTCCTATCAGATCCTGTAGTCCGAAACACCTACGGCGTCAACAGTGAAAATAAGAAAAGTTTTTTTAATTCTTCGGTTGATCAATTATTAGCTGCATTTGCGCATAATGCGATTGATCAGATGAATTAAAAAACTCGCCTATTTTATATGTATACATTTAGGCCCTAACAATACAGATTTCCAAACGTTTTTAGGACGTCCGTACCCAGACAGCACAGAAATATTTATGATAAATAATAATTATTATTTATTTTTTGAAATGTTATATAAACATTTTATACACATTTTATATAAAGCTTTATTCAACATATTGTTAAAAAATAGACTTAATATTTAATGTAATATTTATGATAAATATAAATAAATATCTGTGATAAGTACTTTTTACTTGAATTATAATGTTTTATTAAGTTATTTTCATGATTTTTATTACAAAATTTACAATAAATATTTCATAATATCTATAATAAATGTTTATGATCTATGCAATCTAAGACCATAAAAATATTTACAAAATATTAAAAATAAGTCTTATAAGTATCTATAAATACAATATTTTATAAATATTGTGTGCTGTCTGAGTATGTCCTTTGAACATCCTAAAGACACCCCAGGATATCCCAAATATATCCCAAATAAAGTGTGTGATTAAGAGGATAATGTCTATTGCATTTCATTGTGAGGTAACGTGACTCATTCGAAATTTATATTAAGATATCGAGATTTTTAAAGGAACGACCTCGAGAAACAAGATCCTCAATCAAATGTTCAGCTATTTTGCAGTCCGGACAGGATTAAGACAATCTCATTGACAAGACGAAGACGTCACTTTCAAGATTTAAAAATGTCGTATCAAAATGACAAGCAATCGATGACGAATGGTCATTAACCTGTAATTCCCGCTATTATATATTTTATTATTCAAGAGGATCGTAAAGAATGATGAGAAGCGAACCTTATGGTCCTATTCCGTAATTCTGAATGACTCTAACGATATCATTAAATTGTCGTTACGCAGTTTTTTTACTGTATACAAAATCTGCGCAATGACAGTCATTAAGAATTACAGAATAGGACCCTTAATGTACGTATCTGCGATAATTCCCATTTATTAATTCAACTTCTGTATATTACCTTTCCCCTCTTATTCTGAACCGATCTTCGAAATTGACGTCTTCACACATGTACATACTTGTATAGAGAAGGTAAACTTACGTGAGACCGTATCGGAAATCCGTAGATCTTCGTTATCGTACAGTGCGCGATCAATTGTTTTTTATGAATTAATGAATTATTGAACACCGAGTACAGTAGTTAATTGATTATTTATTAGAAGAATCTATGCACGCACATGCACACACATATACACACGCTCGCTTGTATTTAATCGTTTCAATCTTTAAAAAGTACCATTTTCCTCAGTCGAAGTGTGATAAGAAGTCTTGGCATTTGATATCGATTTTTCCACAAGATCTCTCACTTATCCAATCGATTTTCTTGTGTATTTCCTCAAGATTATTTTTGTTTTCACATTAAGCGAGATTCTTTCGATAGCTGCAGTAATCAGAGATCGACAACGTGCCCGATCGGCAAGATCTACGCCAAACGCGGTTCACCGATCAGAGTCTGAGAACTGACTGGCCGGACACCTCGATCCGCTGGTGCCTTTATCGAGGAAGGCAGAGAAAGAGAAAGAGTGATGCACGCACTCCGACGAACGTGCCGATGGCTAAGCTCATACGTATATACGTATGAACGTGATATATACGAAAAGTATTTCGCGGGGGAGGGGGGGAGGCGTTATCGATCGTTGAAGACAGATATTTGTTCAATCTGGTCAATTCGCTAAATAATGGCGTAACCCCATTCTAAGAAAGACTCATCACTTGGGTGATTGAGGGTGACTCTTTGACCAAAAACTCTTAATTCAACCACCATTTACTTGTCAAGTAATATCGACGATAATTTGTCAGCATATAATTTGTTAGAATAATTACAAGAGGAAACTAAACCGAAAAGAATATATATATAAATCAAATAAAAAAAAGAATTCTATTTTTTATCAAAGCGAATTCTTAATGTTTAATAATATTCATGTAGATTTACAAATACATTTTTCATTTTTCATAAATCGTCGATTCGATTTGTTGGACTTGAAATAGAATTATAAAATAAAGCTAAATATAACATCACAAGTTAATGATATTTAATTTAATAATGACGCTAATAAGCCTATTAAAACATAGTGAAAAACTGTTTGCAAAAAATATATGTAATTTATTAGAATTGTTAATTTTGTAGCACAAAAGATAAAAGATTTTTTTTTTTTTTTTTTAGAAATGGATAAAATCAAGAATATAATGAAGTGTACAGAAACTGCACGGTAAGCAGTTCTACCGGTTGAAATAGATAAAATCAAGAATATAATGAAGTGTACAGAAACTGCACGATAAGCAATTCTACCGGTTGAATCAATTGGAATTTAGTCAAAGTTATCTCCTTAAGAAGAGGCTTAACTAATTTTATCTCTCAGAGCTATTGTGCAATGTTCGCAAATAAATTCGTTGTATGTTGTAAATTTTATTTGCCGTAAATCATAATTAATCTGCTTACACTAAATACGTAGATTCTCGTTGCATCTGAAATATAAATGCATTAATGTTTATAGAAAGAGTCACGTGTGACTTACATGAGTCATACACGTGCGTCTCGCATTCATTAAAAGTTTTTTCAATGAAAAATAGCAAGGAATGCTTAAAGGGACGTCTCATTAACATTGTAAAATTGTTCTTCTTAAGTTAAGACGGACGCAAATCATTTGTTTCCTGTTGGAAAATCTCGACTTGTCATTGGAAAATCTGACGCAACGTACACATTTTTTTTAAGATAACGTCAGTACTCGAGTAATATAACGACAAAGTTGCATTACACCATTACTGAGATTAAGAACGTAAATATAGAGACAAAAAAATTTTAGGAATTTTATACGCACCTAGCAATGCAATCGTTTCATTCTGTAGTAAAAATAAAGTATTTTTCACTCGACCTATTTTTATTTCATTTTTGATAAAAAGGAAACCACGGGTATTATCTGGTAGACATTCGAGCTATCTTATAGGAAATCACGTCGAGGAAATTCCCTGAAAGCGACGTAATCGCTGGCACATCGCCACGTCATTCGCGGTTCGAGCCTCCAGTAAACTTATTAACATTTCACAAGTAATTCAACTGGCGCTCTTTCGAAGATTTTAATCAATCAAGTCTTCGCTCTCGCGGGGTGCGTCTGTTCCACATGTTTTAGCTTTATGTACGAAGCACAGCAGGGTGCAACAAATGGAGTGCAAACGAAGACTGGGCTGGCATGGGCCTTCGCAAGGGTATTATAGCAAGTCATAGAATTAGACTGTCTCTATTTTGGTCGATAGGATGCAAACAACTCACGTCTATTCCGAACGTTCTTCAAAGAGTCATTATTATTGCTATATTGTATCATAAACGTTGTTTAAACTCAACGCTTTGCGCTTTTTTTCTGTCATTGCGTTGAAGTGACAGGACAAGATAAAGAAATAAGTTCTTTCAGAACTGCCGGATGAGAAAACAAGTTGTATCTAAAAATTATTTGCGTTATGTAAAAACACAACTTTCTGTGAACAGAGTAATTTATCAGTTAAAAAGGGAAAAACAACATTGATGTTTACATAATCATTAATCAAGATACAATCTGATGTTATTAATAATACGAGATGTAAATTCAAATTGCGTGGTTTGCGTTACCATGTCTGTTTCTCAACGAAAGAGTTTTACTCTGAATTCGGAGGAAAACTCTTTTAAGACAAGAATTGTTTACACGATCCAAATTCGAACGGGCAGATTCATCGTTCGTGAAGTGAATTTGACTTTCACGTGGGTGACTTCTTTATTTTACTTTAGCCGGTATAAGCCCAAATTACAGTTCGAAGTTCAGAATATAGAGATATGTCGCGACGCCGTGATGTCATGTAGATTGTAACTTTGAATTTAGTCGTATCAGATCTGTGTCATTCGCGTCTAAATATGACATCAGGAAGTTTCATATATAGACGAATATGTCATTATGGCAATTGATAAAGTCTCAGATCCCGGGACTAGGCTATAAATATAACGTTTGACGTAGAATGTACAATCTCTTTCTCACGATGTGAGCGTAAGCTTGTCTGGCAAAATGAGAGAGATGAGAGATGAAGGAGCGAGAACCCAATGACGTGCTCAGAAAAAGAGAAAGAGAGAGATGCGTAGGTGCGTACCTACAAAATCTATTGTGACGTCCAAGGTATCTTATACACATGATGGAGTATCCGGCAGACGTCACGTTAAAAACTTCTATTACACTAATTAATTCTCGAAAGAGGCTTTCTGTACATAGAAAAAAAATGACGGTATTCGATTTGAGTCTGACGTAAATCGTTGCAACAACAATAGTAAATTACTTCTTTTGAAATTTCCAGAAGAGATTTCTTTATTAATTATATCCCTTTTTACGTTAAAGTAAAGCTTATATGAATCATCGAGAAATATAGAGATAATGAAATGAGAATCTTATTTAAAAAAAGAGAAAAACACATCGGCTATTTTGGATTAAGATTTTAGAAGAGGAGTTTCATGTTTACTTTAACAATGTAAATAAAAATTTGATGACGGATTCAATTTGCAGCTGATTCGAGTAACTCTCCTTTCTTAAGAATTTTACGAATCTTCTCACTGAGGAATAAAAAGGAAGCAAAATAAAGACTGGGAAGATTTATGTAGACAAAGCGGACAAAGTTAATATTCGTGGAGAGCTCAATGCCTCTCTGTCTAATATCCGCTTCAAGCTCGCCTCGCGAACTATACTGCTCTCTGTTAAGATATCCTACAGACTCTGAAGTTCACAAACGGTCGGTAACACAGCATATTTACGTGGCACTTAGAATTAATGAGTTTTTCATTAACAAATGTTATCACAAGAATCCCGACGATGAACCATCGCGAAAGCTTTTCGCTCTGAGAGGACTGAGAGCACGATATTTTTTAAGTGCTGAAAATTTCGAAAAAGATGTTCAAGTACCCGATAGAAGGGACTCGTTGAACAACAATCTCATAAAATATTGAACTTTCAATAAAACTTTTAATATACGTAAAACCGCCCCGGAATTATTTATGCCGTAAATATACATCGCGTTCGCAACAGTCCAAGTTTTTTCTTGCAAGTCACACACATGCACGTCACACACGCAGAGGGTTCTAGTTCTCGGCGAATGAAATCTCTCTGGCTTCGGAAACTTCGGAACATAAAACTTCACCATGCCTTTCCTTCATATATGCACTTCGCATGAATTATTAAAGCGTCAGAGTCAGCAGGTTGTCCGCATTTGTATATTTGTGCATAAGTATACTTCTCTTGGTTTACATTACCAATATCTTTACATTATCAATACCTTTCTTCTCACTATTTTGCTTCGCTGTCTTTCTCGCATTTTCATCTTTGCCTAATAAATCAACTCGCGACCAAACCAACGCGCTCTGCTCTTTGATCTTAGAGAACCGACGGTGTGCGGTGTGCAAATAATTATCTAAATCACTCGATACGTAGAAGTAATTTGCATACATAATAAAATTAAACGTCAGAGTCGTAAGAACTAAACGGATCCACGCGTTTCCGCGAACATTTATCGCCAGCATTTTCTCTACGGCTTATCTTTCAAAGATCAATTTCTAAAGATGATGAGATGATAATAATAATTTAATACTTATCCACGATCAATAAGCATAAAGACTGTTTTAACGAAATGATTTCTCTCTCTTTTTTTCTTTTCTTCAGATAGACTTTGCGCGGGAAATTCTTCGTTCTATCGTGGAATATGCGATGGTGTACCGTTTGTGCGATCGCAGACACAATCGCAAAGTTTCAAGAACCGGATTCAAGGCAATGCGGGCTTCTTTTCGAGCCGAAGGGCCGAAACGCGACGTCACGCGCGAAATTGTCGCGAGTCTCGCGTGCATCCACGGTCAGTGACGTGCACGGTTTCCTCTGCTCGAGCACTCATCGTGCGCTTCTCGGCGACCGCGCATCGACATGGTCCACTTGACCTTGGCGAAGTTATTTCTCCTCGTCTTTTCTTTAAATACGCAAATAAACACACCAGGAGCTGTTATCAATCTCAAAACTCAAAATAAGCTCTGATTACGATAAATCAGAAAAATTATAAAAATACAAGAGGAGGTGATGAAGCAAAAATCATTCTAAATAGAAAATGAAATATTTTACGCATCAAAAAAGAGATCCAATGTTACCTTTACGACTTTTTTTCTTAACATAAACCATCTTTCCCGAAAGTTAACAATTTTTTTTCGACAAAATTCCAATAATTAAATATTAATGATGTTTACCGTTGCCTTGTATAATGTTTCTTTCTCGTGTCTGAACTGCTTTTTCCGAAAAAGCAGTTCAAGTCTAGTTTCTAAATTCTTTTTCGACAAAAGCTTTCCAGCAATTAAATAAATACAATCCAAGTATATTCTGGACAGCTTTCTTCCTTCTGTCACGAAATAGCATTTCTCACAATCCCCTTATATATACGAGATAATGCAATTAATTCCGAGTTCGCGTGCGTCGATTGCAGGTACGGAAATATGGCTTAATGCGGCCTCGTCGGGGACCGCCATGATCTTTCTCCCTCCTCTCCCTTCCCGTTCCACGCGCCCTTTTTAATAAAAATATTTTCCCCCTTCGGCCCCATATCGCGGCCCTTTCCCCTACTCGAGAGAACCCGACTTCATCCCTCTCTCTCTCATTCTCCCGTTCGATCTCGCTCGATCGCTCGTATCGTGGTGTTGGGGTGAACACGATTCGGGATTCCCCCTCACTGGAGGCACTTAGCGTGAAGGTATTTGTCTATCGAAAACTATACCCTCGTAGCTCTCGCGCCGAGGCCGAGAAGTCTGTCCCCTTTGTATACGCCCTTTTAGATTCCCTCGCGTTACGCACGAG